AAATACTGATTGATGTATGAGGTGTTTACGTGGTTTATATAAACACGTAACCTTCTGAACATGGAGCTTGTCAGGTCCAGTTTTGTAAGAGGCAGGTTACATGTAGCTTTCTATTAGTAATAGCTAAATAATCATCATTACTTTTGCATGTTATGATTGTGGATCGGTCATACGGACATTTTGACAGCGTAATTGCTATTTCATCAATAAATCCTTTTATCAGCAGGTATCTAGCCAGTATATGACCAGCTTCTTGGCAGTATGAACACTGGTCATGTGGTCATGATCAAATGTAACAAATGTTATATCTGGGATAACACTTTCTTAGTAAAGTACAGATTCTTGTACATTTTGGGGTTGTATCCCGTACTATTATCCCGAATATAACATTTGTTACATTTGACCACTTTCTAAATGGCATTGTGTGTTCATAGCTTTCGGCCATGGGAGCCGTGCCAATTTACACTTGTCAGAGGGGTACTCAGAGTACGTGATCTAGACTACCAGTTGTCGGACTTTCATTTTGTGGAAGCCTGGGACGGGACTCAACCCAAAAATGTACGAGAATCTCTACTTTACTGAGAGAATGTTATCTTAAATATAACATTGGTTATATATTGTCAGTAGATATTCAGCTCTTTGTCAGTATGAATACATGGAGCTGTCTCGCCAGTACATATATCAATCAATACTTTATTCAGTATAAAGGCCATAGGCCCATATACAAATAACAGTTTACAAGTATGGTAAAGGCAACATACATAATTTTAAAGATTGTTTAACGTTTACTTTCTTCTTTCATACGCATGATAAATAAACAGGCATAGTGATTTTATTTGTTCTGTATCGTTTGTGGCAATTGTCAATTTAAATATATGCATATTAACATTAGTTATACATGTCTTTGGTAGATATTTAATTCTAATAGCAACAAAAGTAGCACATACAAGAAGAAAATGATATTCGTCCTCTGCACCTCGATCATATAAAGGACAGTTTCTCATGCATATATCGATTTTGTGCCACCTACCTACATTATTTCTCAACCGTAATAGTCACCCTCCAAACTTCACTAAACTATTTCGAAGCTTTAATTCGCTAATTGAATAAAGATACTTTTATGGTTTTAACAAATTGTTATATTCTCTTTTAAGGTTATATCTTGAACTGTTATTTATTGAAGATATCCAATTTTGATGAAACATACTAATAGCACAATCCTTCAACATACTTATTTAACATTTTTTATCTCCAACTGTTTTTGACAGCCAATCAAAACCAAACCCAATAGTAGATTTGAAGCCCAATTTTTATAGCCTACATTCTCTAAATAAAGTAACATGTACGCTTTTTGGGGATGGCGGTCCCCTTGCATTGATAATATCTTAACCTGTATCCAACACTAGTGAGTTTATATTCATTGGATATCGGCCGCATTCACCATAAACTATAACATCAGGTGTTTGTGGTTCAATTTGTATCACGTTTTTTACAAGCCAGTATACTCTTAAATCTATTGATTACCCAAATTTCAGATGCGTACAAAAGAATCGGACTTATCTGCATATGAATCTAGAATATATATCTGACGCTGTAAACCACATATAGTATCAGAAACCATAATTACATCATACTTCTACTATATCTGGAAAGAGCTCCATGTGTCATATCATCTGTAGCTAATTCATGTATAAATAATGAGAATAGCATAGGGCTCAGCATACATGTGCATCCTTGTCTTAAACCAAATGGACAATCAAAGTAATCGGTGAAATATGTATTACATCTAACACATACTTTAACTGATCGTTATTCCCTTTGTAATGCTCCCAGCATTTTACCATTAAAGCCATAGGAAGACAATACATTTATAGCTTTGCTCGACTGACATAATCAAAAGCCTTTTTTAGAATCAATAAAAGCTAAATACACTTTCTTTTTCTTTTTACATAGACATTTCAATAATTGCACATGAAGTAAAAATATGATCCATACTCGAATAACCTTGGCGAAAACCTGCTTGATTTTCAGAAACTTTACTCATAACATCCGCCCATTTTGGAAGCCTGTAATTTAATACATATGTATAAATCTTCCCAAGCGAACTTAGTAATGATATTCCTCTGTAAATATCGGGATTATGTATGTTGCCCTTTTTATTCAACAGGATAATATTTGTCTTAGTCCATAAGTCTGGAAAACATCCACTTTTAACTTTCTTATCAAACAAAGAAAGTAGGAAGGGCATTATAACTGGTTCCGAAGAGCACATGATCAATTCCAGGTGATTTTCAATTTTTAAATGCGCAATAGCGTTATGTATTTCTTCAACTGTTATAGAAGATTCTAATATAAGCTCTTCAACCTCACTTATCAGTGCAGGGCTGCCAGTTTCATTTTGTATTTCTAAAGTTGTATTTTCTAAGCTGTTAAAATATTGCTAAAATGATGAAACCAACTATCGTTTCGTTTTGTATTTCTAAAGTTGTATTTTCTAAGCTGTTAAAATATTGCTAAAATGATCAAACCAACTATAGTTTCATTTTGTACTTCTAAAGTTGTATTTTCTAAGCTGTTAAAATATTGCTAAAATGATCAAACCAACTATCGTTTTTAATATTATTAGAACTTTTCCTGGTATTTGAAATGCGTCTTAACTCTTTCCAAAAAGTAACCGTGCTTCATATAAAGAAATAAGAATATTAAATATATTCTGAAATTAGATAATGCATCTTCCAATATATAATCATGAAGACATCCCCTCGACTTGAAGGTCGTGAGTCACAATTTGCACGTGCGTGTTCCATCCTCCCGATTCAAGGGCGTTAACTGACTATAAAAGTCCAGAGGAAATTGGACCTTTAGTTTGTTTACCTCCATGCCTCGGGAACATCGTGCATATTCATGCACGGCGCACAATGTGGATGTTTGCGTGTACGTTGGGAGCATGATACTCACACACATTTTGCTCAATGTGAACAGCACACAGCTATCAGATGTTTATAAGAGACTTGTGATTAACCCTATAAAACTCTTACGGAATGCCGGGTTTGCTAAAATTTGACGTCAACGCGCCGTGAGTATGCTGCAAATAGGAATGCCGCAAATTGTTTTTGCAAGACAGGACCGTTGGTTGCTCCGGTTTTGATCAGGGTTACAACATTCAAGGCTTTAGGTTCTACTACACCAAATCAGAACCAGTTTGGACAGTGCGAAAACCTCAGTGCAGATCGAGAGATATCTGCAGGCTGTGACTGGAGGATATTCTGTAAGATTTTTATGTCTTTCAAATGTACATCCATCCAGTTATTAAAACTGACCATGCTTTTCTATATTTAGTGCTGTCTTTTTCAACATGATGACTTATGCTGAATGTGACCACAGCTATTTTCAAGTAGGTGACATTTGGTGCGAAACCTGGGGTGGTGTGTTTAGCTTCCTGTACTCAGAAAAGGAGCTGGCTAAGCTAGTCATTTTTTTATTTTTTTATTGCTGCTCTAAGGCCAAACTGTGCACACACGTACAGGTAATAGCTGTTGAATGCTTAGTTATTTAAGAAAAAATATATAACGTTACTATAGAAGTCTATGGGAAAACATTTGGTTGTGTGTAACCTGTAGTAAAAGTTTCAAAACGTTTTATGGTAGACATATGGAGTGTATTTCCAATTCTGACGCATCAGTGACCAAACTCATTTCCTGATGCTGTTCCCTATTTTGTCTTGTACAATATGTTCCCCTGTCTTTAAAGTGAATAACTGACTTGACATGTGTTTGTGACGGATGCGGACAGTGGGGCAGGATAACTCACCGTTTCGTGAATACCCAGTATTATCCCAATTTGACAGGGATTCATAAAAATCTGCTCCTGATATAATCGGAATCCCAATTATTGTGATTATGAAAACATGGAACCCAAGATAATCCCATCAAATAAAACCTGGCGTCCAAGCAGTCCATCCTGCGTATGCCTTCCCATTACCCAACCAAGTCATTTCATGTTAAGGTTTTTTGACAATTTGTTTTTTATTTGCACGTTTCAGACAACACAGCAACTTAATGTGTTGTCTTTTGTTATTTTGAGAACACATATGTTTGTAATAAACCAAAAGACCATGGCAACCCCATCTTGGTCAATGACTGGTCCCTAATCTTTGAATACTGGGCACCATGCCAGGTTTCATGCTTTAAACATATATAGAAACAGAGGCTAGTATGGTATACATTTGACAAGTCTTGATTTCTATCTAGTTTGGGTTCATCTTAATTGGGTACTACTCGGCTTTTCAAAATCTACCGCCAACTTTTCCCAATGCGCTATTCCCTCTATTTCCATCACGAATCATTTTGGCGAAAGGCATTATTAGTATGAGGTGAGGTGAAATTGGGTTTAACGTCGCGTCCAAGATTATTGCACTTATATATAACGAAGTGCATGCACGTGTGTGTGTGTGTGTGTGTGTGTGTGTGTGTGTGTGTATGTGGCTGCTTGTACTGCCGATTTATAGTGCTAGCCCACTGAGATACCATGCCGCAGTTTAACATGAATACCCCACTCAGACACAGTTTACTGACTCTGAGCCGACCAGTCCTTGTTTTAGCCCCTTAATGCCGAGCGCCAGACAAGGTAACAACAAGTACCATCTTTTAACGTCTTTTGGTATGACGCGGGATCGAACCCCGGAACTTCTGCTCTCCGGGCGGACGCTCTACCACGAGACCACGGAGGCGGTATGAAGTATGAAGAGTGTATGCACGAAATGCTTTAAATGCGTTGGGGATTGCTTGAATCATACACATTATAGAAAAACTATCAAAATTAGTTATAGAGCAAACCTTTGATGCCAAATGGCATGATAAAGGACTTAAAAGTACACACTTTTTGACGTAGTACATGCTTTTATTATCTGATTGTGTGATATAGTTTGCATAAACATTCATATTTTATTGTAATAACTGATGAATGTGCGAATCATGTAACCATATATCTTAAAATACGCGATGTTTCAGATCCACTACTACCACCCTCATTCCTCCATCCCCACCCACTCTCACCCACCCCTACCGCCACCATCCTCTACTCCCGCCCCCATTCCTCCATCCCCACCCACTCTCACCCAGCCCTTCTTTCATCATCCTCTACTCCCACCTTCATTCCTCCTTCCTCACCCTCATTCCTCCATCCCCACCCACTCTTACCCACCCCTACTTTCATCATCCTCTACTCCCACCTTCATTCCTCCATCTCATCCTCATCTCCCCTCATCCATCCTCCCACCACCCACCCCTCCCTGTCTCTACCGGTCCCTATCCCTCTACCCTTCCTTCTCTCTCCCGCCCCTCCCATCTCCCCATCACCCTGATCCATCCACCCTCCCACCACCCCACCCCTCCCTGTCTCCACCGTTCCTCATCCCTCCACCCTTCCTTCTCTCTCCCGCCCCTCCCATCTCCCCACCACCCTGATCCAACCACCGTCCTACCACCCCACCCCTCCCTGTCTCCACCGTTCCTCATCCCTCCACCCTTCCTTCTCTCTCTCGCCCCTCCCATCTCCCCACCACCCTGATCCATCCACCCTCCCACCACTCCTTCCCAGCCTCCACCGTTACTCACACCTCCGTCACCCCTACATCCGGTGCAGCGTGGCGATATCCACCCCTACTTTCATCATCCTCTACTCAAAGCCCCATTCCTCCATTCTCGACCCTCATTCCTCCATCCCCACCCACCCCTACTTTTTCCATCCTCTACTCCCACCCTCATTCCTCCATCCCCAACAACTCACACCCACCCCCACCTCCATCATCCTCTACTCCCACCCTCATTCCTCCATCCCCATCCTCATTCCTCCATCTCACCCTCATTCCACTATCCACCACCCCTCCACACCCCTCCCCCTCTCATTCCTCCACCCCTACCCACTCCCATTTTCACCCCCTACCTCGATCATCCCCTACTCCCACCCTCATTCCTCCAGACCCGCCCTCATTCACTCCAACTAACTTCCGTGGCCCTTTACTTCTGCATACACCCCTTCTTCATCCCTCATCTCCCCTCATCCACCCTCCCACCACCCCACCCCTCCCTGTCTCCACCGTTCCTCATCCCTCCACCCTTCCTTCTCTCTCTCGCCCCTCCCATCTCCCCACCACCCTGATCCATCCACCCTCCCACCACTCCTTCCCAGCCTCCACCGTTACTCACACCTCCGTCACCCCTACATCCGGTGCAGTGTGGCGATAGCACTGCACTGCACCTGGAATGTCGAGTCCTCTCTAAACATGAAGTCGTAGTATTATGAAGTCCACAGCCATAAAGACTTGTCTATGTTTACAATTCACATTTCACAACCATATGATTACACCAGCCGCCCCACAGCCAACACTCGCTCTCGTTAGGACTCCACGTCAACTTCGATTTATCCGTCAACGTTCAAAACAATTGATTGATAACACCAGTCTAAATTACACGACGGGTATCAGATTAAAGTCACGTGGTTGTATCACTACGCAGACACGGTCTCATTTAGCCCTGGTAATTCAGAATCCAATAAAAAAGATCTAAAACAGATGGGCGTTGCAGGGAAATTCATCACAAAATGATCATTACATTCGAATTTTCGATCGATTGTTCTCATGTGCATTATATTGAAAATGAATGTTTAAATATTAATCGCTTTCGTGCCAATACCACAATGTAGAACATTTATTGCCTGCGCTATCGTGATGGTTTTAATGCAGCTTGCGCAAGACAATTAGCAGTTAACAACATATTTGAATTAATCAATAAAACTGAACCACGAAAGGAAATTATTGTTCGAATGAAACTATAACGGATTTTACGAAATTGCCACCATTTACATGGACGCACGTCACAATTCACTAGTTTCATATCGGACATGGGATAGACGAATAAGCCTAAATGCATCTTTGAAGACACGTTTCCGTCGTGCGTGGATAGCTGATGCGGCGTTAAGCAAATCACTCTCTCACTCTGCTGAGCGTTATGCTCGGAGGAATAGGAGGGTGGGGAAGCCTAGTGGTTAAGTGTTCGCTCGTCACGCCGAAGACCCGGGTTCGAGTCTCCACATGGGTACAATGTGTGAGGCCCATTTTTGGTGTTCCCCGCCTTGATACTGGTGGAATATTGCTAAAGGCGGTGTAAAACCATACTCACTCTGCTCACATTAACTGGGTTTGCTGCTGGAATCCGCATCCGCATGTTTTAGTTCATATAAGTAGACTGGGACCCAGTCACCGCTTGTTCTACGCATGCCCAACTTTCTTTCATTTAAACAGAGGTACACTTTACAAAACGTTAATTCATTATTCTGGAAAACTGAGGCACAGTTTCAGAGCATCAATGGTTCTAGGAGGACTCAGCGTAAATGTTGATGCAGAGGCGGTTCACCCTCTCCGAAGTACAGTGACTGGCTACTATTGCCTGACGCGCAAGTAAATACCGAAGATGCTGATGGCGGGGACATACATAAGTCATCTGGAAATATCCTGAATCTGATGAGCCGTGATTACGAACAATGTATAGTGTGGAGGAGGGGGTTTATATAGGACAAGGTGGGTATTGGCGTCCACGGTCTGAACTATCTCCCGAGGCAAGCGCGTCCACTGGCCTATATCAAAGCCTAGTGGAAACAAGACTCTGATAAAAAGGTTAGTGGACGATGCTGCCTCGGGAAGATGGAGCTGATCTAGAGAATGCACGAATAGTCAGAAGCATTGCTGGTATTGCGATTGTCGCAAGGTTCCGGTAATGCATACTCGTAAGAGGCGACAAACGGGAGTCATCGCGTGTCATCGTATCCCAACGTAGTCGATCGATGCTCATGATGTCAATCACTGGATTGTCAGGTTCCGACTCGATTATTTACGGACCGCCGTCATATACCTTTAATGTTGCTGAGTGCGACGTTATACAACAAACAAACAATTAACTACTACTACTACTACTACTACTACTACTACTACTACTACTATTGAGCCTAACCAACCTGACTGAGCCAGAATCACCCAAACCCTCTCTGCTGCATTTATTAATTTTAATCTGTACAATAAAACCCCCCAATAATTTCTATGCCCTAGGGTATGCTCAAGGCGCTACAGTGTCAAGTTGTGAACATATGTTAAAAGTACATCCATTGTACTTGATAAATACAGTCGAGGTAAATCTTGAAACAGTTGTTACGGGGAGTAATACAAAGAAAGTTGATGTGTTTTAAGTGTGGATTTGAAGCTGTACATATTGTCAGTTTTTTTATTATGTATGGGAAACTATTCCTTACGCCAGTAGCTTTCTTGAAGAATGATCGTAGGCCAAAGGGCTTCATTTTATAAGGTGGTACGACCCGTGAATATTCTGCAACCCATGCTTGTCGTAACAGGCGACTATGCTTGTGAGGCGCCTAACGGGATTGGGTGGTCAGACTCGCTGACGTGGTTGGTGCATGTCATCGTATCCCAATTGCGTGGCTCGATGCTCATGATATCAATAACTGATAGTCTGGTTCAGATTCGATTATGTAGCTTGAATATTGCTGTGTGCGGCGATAAACAACAAACAAACAAACAAACAGTCAAGAGGTGCTGAATTTGGGTGCGTATCTAATCCACGTGTTTGCATATATGCATAAATAAGTTCAAACAGATAAGAAGGTGCGAGTCCATTGAGAGATTTATATATCGAACAAATAATCTTTACGTCAATCCTGGCCCTGACAGTCACTGGAGGCAGTTGAACAAGGTATTATGTACTCACTCACTCGCTCACTCGTGTATTGCGAATTGATGATCTACTTAATGATGCGAGCATCCATGACTATTCATGACGGACACGATCGTCTTACCTGACAGAATGACAATCACGAGCACTGTAGATTTAGACGTCACTGCCTGAGGTATCTGTGGGTCACGTACTTGGTAGATATTACGCGAGAAAGATATTTTTGGTACATCTCATCAGGAAAAGTACTTTAGGCAACCTCCTAACTATCGCGTGAAACATTCGTTACACTCTCGGCAACATCGCTGCATCAGCGTGGAAGCGGCCATTACAAGAAATTTTATAACATTCATAGACCGCCTCCGTGGTCAAGTGGTAGAGCGTTCGCCCGGAAAACGGAAGGTCCGGGGTTCCATCGCCGGCCGCGTCATACCAAAAGACGTTAAAAGATGGTACTTGTTGTTACCCTGTCTGGCGCTCGGCATTAAGGGGCTAAAACAGCTCGGAGTCAGTATACTTTGTCTGAGTGGGGCATTCATGTTAAACTGCAGCATGGTATCTCAGTGAGCTAGCACTAGCATCAGTCCGGGCTAGTACAAGCAGCCACACACACACACACACACACACACGTACATGCACGTCACTATATAAGTGCAATAATCTTGGACGCGACGTTAAACCCCATTTCACCTCACCTATAACATTCATATGTTTCTTTATGTCTTTGAGAATGCCATCATAGTAAATTTTGAAAAGGTATGCAACTGACCACATTTCCCAAATGACTTTTACGTTTTGTTTGTTGAATCAGATTGGTGCCAAATTGCAGACAGGGACTTTCTTGAAAAAAAGAAAAACGACCTATGATTCAGACTGTTGAAACAGAAATACATTGTTGCAAGGTGCAACTTAGGACAACATATGCGAGGGTTGGTTGGTAAGTCCCGAACCTCACACAGAGTGAGTGAGTGAGTATTGTTTTACGCCGCTTTTAGCAATATTCCAGCGATATCAGGGCGGGGGACACCAGAAATGGGCTTCACACATTGTACCCATGTCGGGAATCGAACCCGGGTCTTCGGCTTGATGAGCGAACGCTTTAACCACTAGGCTACCCGACCGCCCCTAACCTCACACAGAAGGACTGGAATATTTGTGAAATGTGTTGTTGTGGACATTGCATGACGCCATAGAGGTACGTCCACAACAAAATGGGTGTAATGATGAAATTCTTTCACTATAACAAATCAGTAAAATAAGCAGCGTTGTGTGACCTTTGGAAAATGGACAAACTTGATTGTTTGTTTGTTGTTTAACGCAGCACACAGCAATATTTAAGCAAAATGACGGCGGTTTGTAAATAACCAGTGATTGATATCATGAGCATCGATTCACACAATTGGGATACGATGACATGCATCAACCAGGTCAACGAGCCTGACCACCCGATCCCGCTAGTCGCCTCTTACGACAAATATAGACGCCTTTTACGGCAAGCATGGGTTGCTGAAGACCTATTCTACCCCGGATCTTCACCTGTAGGACAAACTTGAGGAACTTGTGGTGACCACTTTGATGATCACCTGTTTATATATATATTTTTTTTGCGTTTGACTTAAATAAATATACGCATTTTGTAAACATGTATGCAAAATTAGTTGTATGGCCGTTACACGACATGTTTTTATATTTCACAGAATCAGAAAAAATATGGATCTTCGATAGTA